TGCTACAAAAAATTTTACATTTTGAAGGAAATGTTACAGGGTCTAATATATTATCTTTTTAAAATATTGAAACAAAATGCTCATTTAAACAATTTGCAATATCTACCTTATTTGTTATAAATGAAGCACCAACAGTTTTAAGTGCTTTAATTGAACCTTTTGTAACTGTTTTACTATTAAAATATAAATAAACATTTTTTGAGGATTTTTGAGTTTTTAGCCAGATTTAATTCAAAAGCACTAATATTTTGATTAACTTTTTTTTTTTTTTTACATTTTTATTTAAAGTTTTATAGTCATTTACCATGTCAGTTTCTTTAAATTTTAAATGCCTAAATTTGTACCATAACTTTGTCTTTTTTTCATAGAGCATATTTTCTTGTATCATAATTGATATTTAGAATAAATTTACTAAATCTAATATGATTTTTTATAGGCTTGACTACCATTTAAATACTTAAACTCATTTTCCCAATCTAAACTTGAACAATAATTTGAAAGTTCTTTATAATTTCCTTTAATGTTTAATAATTTTGTCTCTTTTTTTTTTTTGGTTTTTTATCAAGATGGTTATTTTTATAAAAATATTTGAAATTCAATATATGGTGTCAATGTTCAATTCCGCCTAAAGGAGGAAAGTGATTCAAACAGAAAACCCAATTACTACTTTCTGATAAGACCAAGTCTAATGAATTTGTATCAAACCCAAAGCTAACTTAAATGTTGACAGGAAGACATTTTGATATATGAAGCAATCATTTAAAGATTCTAGAAATTTTAAGGTGCTCAAATCTGATTCATTCTGAAGTTTACAGGAACCATCACACCAAAAAATTGAAATCTCCACAAATTAGAATTCCTGTGTGTTTACCATTTTTCCAAGCTTTTTAAGCATGTCAAATAGATTTAGTTATTTTCTGGCAACTTAAAATATCACTAGCACTAATTTGATATATACATCTACATAGAACATTTTCCAGACCAATCTCAACTGAACACCATACTTTTTCAGCTTTTAATATTGTATATTTATCTAAACTATCAGGTAATAATAGGCAGCTTTTAATATTGTATATTTATCTGAACTATCAGGTAATTTGACCAACAAAGGTGTACTTACTTCCATTGTTTTTTTGTTGTTTTTTAGTGCAACACCACTATTTACTTATTTGTAAAATAACAAATTTAATTATTTGTAAAATAAAAAGAATTCATCACTAAGTGATGAATTCTTTTTATTTTATCAGGATTTTTAATTTCAAAAAAGATTTTTAAGAATATTTTCATCAAAACTTTTTCTATTTCCACCAATCAGATTCAGTTGATTTTCATCAAACCTTTTTCTAATTCCACCTATCAGATTCAGTTGATTTTGGTATACCAAAAACAATAATATTTCAACATTTGCTGTCAATATAACATTTTCACTCACAAGTTTATAAATTGTAGACAAGTAATTAATTACTAATTACTTGTCTACAATTTAATAATGAATTACTTTAATAATTATTTACTAAAGTGTCAGAATTTTCAATTCTGACACTTTAGCAATTAATTGTTCAAGCTGCTGATTAGAAACACTTTCAGTCGCATATCAATTTATTGATTATTTTAAAAAGATATAGCTATTCAACTTTTTAAAACATTTAACAGTAGGTTTCTTTAAAATAAAAACACACCTGCCATCTTAAATCGCTAGCGTGTTTTTCATGTTCTAGATAAGTATTTTTTAACTGACAAAATTACAAAACTGGCTACATTTAAGATTAAAAAAAAGATAAATGATAAGGTGATTTCGTGGAGCATGCAAATAAAAAACTCAAAAGTTAACAATATGAAACTGCATTTTGGAAAGATCACATCTATTAAAATATAAAATATTTGAATTTGAAAATAGGCATTATGACTAAAAGAAAATCTTCAGAATAATTTTTATCACTTACACATGATTTCAATATTAAAATAACTAAACAGTCTACCCATGATTCTTTTGCTATCACTAGTAGTAGAACAATAAATCAAGTTAGTGCTAAAACTTTTAAAATGGGAATTATTAAAATGGTAGTGAATAATGAAGTTTCGTTGAAAACATTTTTAGATGAAGGATCCAAAATGGTTAGAGGTCAATTAGGCAAAAGTGTTGAGCTTTTGAAAACTTTCTTATTTAAAAAATTAACTTAAGATTAAATTAGATTTTAAATTTATTTAATGATAAAAATTATAATATAAAATTAGATAAACAAAAATACAAATGTCTATATAATAAAATTTAATTTTAATTTTTAAAAGCATTTAAAAACTTAATTATTCAAAAACTTGTGTTTCTATCTTGTTTTTTTCACTATTAAGCAACTCAATTTGTGTGAAGTATAGAAATTGAATCTTTTCAAAATTATCAAAATTGTTAACAGCTGCTAATAAAAAACATCATGAATGGGTTTGATCGTCAAGAATTTGAAGATTTAACAGCTATTTTTGTTTTGATACAAATTTGTGTTTCTATCGACAGTCATTAATTAAAAAGTCATTTTAGCTATTTAAAAAGTATCAAGAGGATCGTGGAAATTGTCAAAAATTTTTTGTTAAAAATTAAAAACTAATTAGTATTTTTTTACATTTAAAATTTAAAAATGAAAATAAAAATAAAAGAAGACAATATATGCAAATAATCATTTAAACTACTTAAAACTGTATTTAAAAGCGATGTACACAATTAAAATAGATCAAAGTTTCAATGAATAAATTTGATAATTCATGCATTAAATCTTTGCAAACAATTGTCTTTTGTGCTTTTTTCTCTCTACTATATCAAACAATTGTCCTTTGTGCTTGTTTTCTCTCTACTATATCAATTAATTGTCCTTTGTGCTTGTTTTCTCTCTACTATATCAAACAAAGACGAAAAGCAATTTTTAAAAATTTAAACGTAAAATTTTCATAAGAAAAAGAGGATATTAAAGGATTTTAGAGGAGATTTTGCATTTAATTTAGAGGATTATTTTTCACAAAACTATAAAATTTTGAATGAAAATAGAGGATTTTAGAGGATTTTTTTTAAAGGTTTAACATCCATGTTTTTTAACTGTTTTTTTCCAGGGTTTTGACATCAATAATGTCATTTTGTATGTTATAGATAGCCTGGATAAGCTAAAACTGATATTTTCCAACTCAATGCTCATTATAGACAATAAACTGTTATGCACACCAGATATTTTTAACTCTATACTTCCATCAAGAAATTAAAAAATAAAAAAAAAGGAGATAAAGAGGACATTTAATCATATTATTAACTTTTTAGAGGATTTTATAGGAGATTTTTGGAAAAAGAGGACTTTAGAGGATTTTAGAGGAGCTATGGTCACCCTATTTTAGAGGAGCTGTGGTCACCCTATTTTAGAGGAGCTGTGGTCACCCTATTTTAGAGGAGCTGTGGTCACCCTTATTAAAAATGAAAAAACCTAATAAGATTGCTCAGAATAAAACAAGTTGAGTAATTATAATTAAACATTTATAAATTAGAAAAATGCTAAAAATATAACTAAAGAAAATAAAAATTTATTTTGATTAAAATTTTTTATCTAAAAAATGTCAATGTTAATTTTTTTAAATTTCAGAATGCAAAGATTTTTTTTTTTTTTCGGTCACACCTAAAAACCCAACTTCACAAAAACGCGGTATTAAATTTTTTCATGGCCAAAACCCTAGCATTGCACCAGGCTGTGGGAGCCTAAAGTTCTAAATAACAAAGCCAGGGAAAAATATAATTAACTTGACTAAACTGCAGTAATCACCTCAAGCAAAGGTGATGTTAGGAAGTGCCTAACTCAAGTAGGTTAGGGTTTCTTTGGCTTTTTTTTATGATTTGTGTGATATGTTCCATCAACACACAGTTAAAGATTTTAGATTTTAGTATTGGATATATGCAGATAAAAAGATTACAATTAATTGTATAAATTTTATCTTAAAAAAAGTACAAAGAAAAACTATTTATAATAATTAAAATTTTCACAAAAATTGTAAAAAAAACAGTATCAACTTAATCTTATTATCCTATAGTGCTAAAACTTTAAATATAGTCATTTATGGAACAAATGACAAACAGGGTTCCCACTATTAAAACTGAGGCTAAAAAAAAGGATTTTAAGGAGATTTAAGGAGATATTTTCCTAATATTTAAGGAGATTTGGTCACGAACAACAATTTTTTGAAAGAAAAAATAAGGAGAATTAAGGAGAAAACGATTATATTAAAAACAGAATCTTATTTTTTTCAATAAATTTTAAATATAAACAGAGAAATTATTATAAATTAATATATTACTTTTTATATATATAAATATAAATATATATCTAATAAAAATATAGGTTTGCAAACTATCAAAGAACTATATATTTTCCTCGTTATTAATAAGTATAATCCATTCACTTGAATAAAACTTCCGAGATGATTAAAAATAATAATAATAATAAGGAGAAATTAAGGAGTGCAGTCTTATTTTTATTTTTTAAGGTTATTTAAAGGTTTTTATTTTTTAAGAATATTTAAGGTTTTTAAGGAGTGGGAACCCTGACAAAGATTAGAGAGTAAGGTTGTTTTTTTGACAATATACACTCACTGTGTTTAACGCTAAATATATTAATGAATAAAACAAAAATAGAAATAAAATAATAAAAAATAACAAAACAACCAAAAAATTAAAACACAAAAAAAAGAAGTCTTGTTTTTTTAGCCTTTTGCAAAACTCTTTTTTGTTTCTTTTCTTGTGTGTGTGTTTACAACTCTTTCTTAACTCTTTCACTCTGAAAAACTGACAAACAAGGAAAAACAAGTTGAGCACGGGATTATTACCAGGGATGTGGTGGGGCTTTACTACTACACCACTACCCAATTGAAGGTGGAAATAAATGTTAAAAAAAAAAAGCTATAAAAGCTTTAAAGTAATATTTACAAAAAAAAAAATATTTATAAATAAATTAAGTTTATAATTTAAGAAAACTTGCCGTTTAAGATTGTTCTTGTAGGTAAAGGTTGCTTCAAAGGTGTTTCAGTTGTAAATGATATATTTGAAAACTCATCTAGTGACAAGGTTTTATTCTTTTTTTTCACCTTGATTGGAACAGGCTAAACACATTTCAAATATAAATTTACATATACATATATATATATATATATATATATATATATATATATATATATATATATATATATATATATATATATATATATATATATATATATATATATATATATATATATATATATATATATATATATATATATATATATATACGTAGACTTATTCAATCCGTAGACTTATTTAATGCACACAGTGCATTAAATAAGTCTACGGATTGAAGTAAATTTATATCTTGTAACTTATATAAACTTATGGTTTGTGTTAGGTTGTCCTGCAACTGGTAACATGTAACCCAGTACAACCCAGGTATAATGGTATATCAAAGTCATTTTTAATTATAAAAATATTACTTTATATATTAAAATAAATGTCACTATATAAGCTGTGCTAATGTGATAATTTTATTTAGAAACAACCTTAGACTGTAGTTAATGTAAATATTAAATTTATAGATTATTGCACAAAAATTAGTAACTTAAACTCCTATAACAAAGAGGAATAAGATGCTTTTTAACTAAATTGTGCCAACTTAGCGCTTTTAAAAAAATGTAAATGAATGAACTGACATTTGCACACAAAAAAAACATCAATCCAGAATAGCTGGCAAAGATTTCAGCATCTAAAGAAAAACAAACTTAAAAAAATAAGCTATGCCAGCATACGCTTTGAGGCTGATAAGGAAATCTTCCTGGAAAAGTATGTTTTTAGATTACTATATTCATAAAATAAAATTTATATAATTTAATATATTCTACAATAATAGTAGTTGTATTTTGTTAATACATTTTGTATTGACCAAATAATTAATTGTATTAACTTTATAGCTTCTTATTATAAAATTAATAAATTAATTTAGTATATCTGAAAACATTAATTTATCAGAAAAGAAGGCAAGATATGATTTAGCTAAAAAGCCTTTTGATAAAATTGGACGTAAACAATAACTTTGTCAAACTGAAGAACCATATGATGTTTTAAATAAGTTTTGTTACCTTGAAAATATTAGTTTAACCAAATTATTGGGGTTTTCATTAACAAGATATCAAGATAAATGTGCATCAGATATTGGTTATGATCCTTTTTTCTGAAAAACACAAAGATAACTCTTTCAATAAGCCAAAAAAAACTTCTTTCAATATCTGCTGGTTTCAATATATTGTCTAGCTGGAAACATGCCAGAAAAAAGTAATTTGAAGTAACACCAATTATTTTGAGTTATCTAGAACCTTATTATGGTGTTTGCAGGTTTGTTAATATGGTTGTAAAATTTACTAAATGCCCCCACTGAGTCACAGAGTGCTGAGTCTTCAAATGGGAAAAGGATCAAGAGAAACTCTTCATTCTTTGTCTGAATTAATTCTGACATTAAAGAGTTAAAAAATAATGTTTTCCTTATGAATAAAGAGGGAAAATAATGCAGTCATATATGATGGATATGAAAGCAGCAAATCTTTATTTAGGAATTGGAGGCACATATTGTGATCTGTGCACATGCTCCAAAGATCATTGTTTGGATATTGAAAGAATCTAAAATGGTTTTGTAATCAATTGAAACATTATAAAAATGAATGAAATATTTAATCATTATGAACAAGAAAACAGTACTTTACTTTAAAAAAAAAAAACTATATTAAAAGAACTGGACAAACTTTCAAACCAATTCCAACCTGTGATACAAAGCCAATACAAGTAAATTGTTATCTTGTAAAAGTGTTCATATTAATCTGTATTCTTGATATTAAACATACTTGATATTAAAAATTATTACATTTAAAAATTTACTGATATTTTTATAGGTTCTTCATGCTTTACTGTGTACATTTAACTCTTCCATGAAGACTGTTATACATGTGAAAACTAATGTTTTTGATTGGTCTGAGTTCCCTTTGAGTGCTTTAAATAGATTTCTGAAGCAAGCAAAGACTTGGGATTTAAAACAGGGATTTAATTATTGCACAATTGCCTGTATAATACCATGCAACATTTCAAAGGGGAAGCTTGATGTTATCAGTAATTCTTCGAGTACTTTCTTTAAAAAGAAAAATTTATGTGGATTAATATAAAAGCTATTGTACAGGTTTTTATATATTTCTAGTTGAAGAGTTTCTGTCTGTTACAAAAATAAATTTACCTGGACCATGGATCAGTAGTGTGACCCATTTCTGCCTCTTTAAGTTAAGAACTTTAAGTTCTGGGAAGTTCTATGGGAAATTCCCATAAAATTTTTCTTATATATCATTGCATATCAAAAATACTATTAATTTATTAATCTCTATGTACTCTATTATGGCAGTGTAATGTTATTAACTGCCAATTTTTACCTGATTTTTAAGCAAGCATGAAATTCAGTGAAAAGTTTAGGACATCAATAAATCAGTTGTGTGATATTTCAGCATCTAAACTCTACAAAATATCTCGAATTTCAACTTGGAAACAGGAATGACTGTTCTTACAAAATCAGCGGAAATATCTACAGGTAAACAAAATTACTTATTTAGCTATTCTATTTCGTTTGAGGTGTACAATATGTACAATTTTCTATATATTTTTTTTTAAGGTTGGCCACATGCTTGGTCGAGATACTATTTTAAACTAAAGAAAGAAAAAAGTACCTAATCGTAATGAACGTCTGGAACAAATGAGAGCAGCGCATGATAATTTATCTAAAAGGAGACGAGATGATATTACGAGTGAAGAAATTGAAAAAATTCTTAGTGAGGATGATGAAAACACAAAAAGCTTAGAAGATGACAAATTTTACCCAACATCACCAAATCAAATAAAAATTAAAAAAAAGATTGCAAGCCCTTATTTCTCAGTTAAATCTAAAGACGCTAACTAAATCATTTTCGAAAGTTTCCGATTGCTTACACTTAGGCGTTAGAGGCACAATGGCTATTGAAGCAAAAATAGTTTGAGCTGTTGGCACTCCCCTTGAATAGTTTGTTATTTCAAAATCACATGTTCATTGTTAGCAAAAGAAAGAACAAAAAAAGTCAGTTTCATCATATAAGATTTAACTATGAATGCAATGCATCCAAGCGGTCACTGGGATAGCAAACTTGTTTCATCGCTTAGCAGTAAAACTATTCAGACATTGCTTTATTACGTAGAATAATAATCTTAAGATAAACTTTATTTTTATTTTTTTCTTGAAAAGGAAAAAGGAAAGAAAGAAGAACATGTTGCCATCCTTGCAAGTTGGATGTTGCATGTGCCATCCTTGCAAGTGGGATTGCAACAACATGTTGCAATCCTTGCAAAATGAGATGGTTTGGCTGAAAATTCAAATCTTAAAGTTCTTGGGATTCTTACAAGCCCAAATGCTACTGGTGTAGCCAAAAAAGATCAATTTATCAACCATTTTAAATCATGGAAGCTACTTGATGATTTGATTGCTTTTTGCTTCGACGCTACAACAAGTAACAACGGCTGTAAAGCAGGATGTGTGGCTTTAATTGAGATGGATATTGGTTGTGCAACTTTATGGGCTGCTTGTCGGCACCACATTTATGAGTTACACATTAAACACATTTGGGAAACAGTTATTGGAAAACATAATGGGCCAATCAAGCCACTACTTAAAATCTTCAGGAAAACTGGGACTCAATTTCCCACAAAACTTGTCTAAAACAAGTTTTGCTTGACAATTAATTAGGTTATCTCCGTCTGCAATTCAAACTGAATAATATTTAACACTTTTTCAAAAGTAGCTTTTAAAGGTAAGATTTCCTAAGTACTAAAACACATCCAATTTGCATGAAAATTTCCATATAGATTAAAAAAAGGATGAGGAATCGAATGAAAAGGGGAACCATTTTCAAATTTATACAAAAATTTTTAGTTCTTAACGTTTAAAAACTTTTAGGTCGATTTAGTTAAAAAAAAAAAATTTTTTTTAAAAGGTTTCATGCCTAAAAAGCAAGTATAGCCCTTCTTCTCTCTAAATCAAGTATTTATTTATGTATTTTTGAAGATTCGATGCATAAGAAATTTGTTTTAAAACTATGTATGCATTATATGCTTTTTTTTCGCTTATTTTATGACGTTTTTTGTTTTGATTTTTAGGTTTGTTTACTAAGTCTTAGGTTTGTTTACTTAGTCTAAGACTTAGTCTAAGTTATAAATAAATTTTTGCGTTTGTTTTATGAAATTTGATGTGTTTTTTTTTCACTAAATTGAAAACTTAAATATTAGATTTTTATACCATTTAAAGCAGTTATATATTCTTTTCATAAAATGAACCATCATATTTAGGTAATATTTAAGTGAATAAGAAATAATTTAAAGATGTGAACAAGAAATTACCTTTATTAAGCCTTAATTTAAGGATGTGAATAAGAAATAATTAAAGGGAGTGAATAAGAAACAATTCAAGGGTGTGAATAAGAAATAATCTCTAATTCGAGGATTACTTCTTAATAACATCCTTAAATCAAAGCTTAATAAGGATGTGAATAAGAAATAATCCTTATTAAGGCTTAATAAGGATTATTTTTTATTCACATCCTTGTTAAGATTTAATTTAAGGATGTGAATAAAAAATATTCCTTATTAAGGATGCGAATGAGAAGTTTTTTTATTTTGAATAACAAACAAAAATGATGGAAAGAACAAGATTTTTAATAAGGTTTAATTAGGATATATAAGGTTTAATTTAAGGATGTGAATAATTAATTTAAGAACCTTAAATTAATTATTCACATCCTTAGATTAATTCTTATATATAGCCTTATTAATCCTTATTAAGGCTTAAGGATTAATAAGGATATATAAGGATAATAAAGATATATTTCACTTTCAATTTCATATTTAGAATTCGAATATAAACTTATTTAAATTATAAACTTATTTAAATTCTAAATATGAAATTAAAAGTGAAATTTTTAAAATGTAATAAATTAAAAAAAAGCAATCTAAATTTTTTAGAAGCATTCTCAGGATTGGACTCTGGATTGTTTATTAAAACTGTAAGTTTGGTTAT